TACTAAAATTAATGAATATATTAAATTATTTATTAGTATTTAATAATATTACAAACTTCAATATAATTTGTACAATTCAAAATATTGTAGAAATTTTTAAAATAATTTACAATGTTTTAAAAATGTTCGCAAATATTTAAATAATTTGAATTCATTTAAAACTATTCATATATATTCATATATATTTGCAATATATTATAATTTGGTATTTTTGAAATTTTTTTCAATATTTCGAATTATTTTAAAATGTTTTAATCAATTATAATTTTATACTTACTTAAATTTCCAAAAAATATTTTATACCAATTTAATACAAACTGTATTTTCTTCATTCATATTATAATAATTTAATATATTTTCATAATTTCTAAGTTTTAAATCATGTTTAGTAAGTTTTAAATTAGTTAAATTTTCTCTATTAACTAAACAAAAATGACAAGAATAGTTATATAAATTGATCTTCACAATCTTAACTCCATAAAAAACATTTAAAAGATCATAAAAAACAATATTTAGAACCGTAATGACTTCCCAAGCAATAAAGCTGAGCTTAAAACGGCCTTAAAGGAAGCATAATCAAATATGGATATGTGGGTTCTTCGTGTAGTTGCAGACTCAATGGCACGAAGAATCAATGCTATCACAAGTGCAGGAAGTCGCTCAGTAAAGTATTAAATAAATATATAAAAAATTTGATGCATATGCGGCCAAAATTAAATAAATAAAAATTTTATTTTTCGATCATTGTTGGCTACTGTACGTATCACTAATCCAGTATTAAGTTTCTGATTAACTGAGTGTGCACAATACATAGTTTATTTTTTACTGTATATCGGATATATGTCATAAAAAATTCGCTTGCGTAACATTTGTTCAATCGACCTAATAAATAAATATACTATACGTAGAATAAATGAAAGTTCTGCATGCAGAAGTCATGAGCATACAAGGCTCATGCTTAATGCCATGCAGGATGCAAATTGTCTAGGTCAATCACCTCACGACACATATATTGAAGATAGTCAAATGTACTGTATGTCTATTTAGATTGCAATAAATCTGTTAAACCCGTGGTTACCATTATCTGTTATGAATAGAATCTAATCAAGTGAAACCTCAGATCTAGTAACTCTTTGGGCAGTAATCTTGGATTCGATTCTTCAAGAAACTCACCAGATGATTCATAAAATTGTAAATAATAAAAGATATAGAGTGTCTTGAGAAAAAGACCTATCTGACCTAACTTATATAAAAACATGTTAACATACCTGCCTTGGCATATAAAACGCTACTGAGTGAAGCGGGCTAAGATGCATTAAAAAAGCTTATACGTGAATTATCTTCCACGAGTCTAGTAAAACTATCATCCTGCAAACAGAATCAAATTGAATTCACGGTTTCTTCGCCAGCGATTTCTAATTGAACAAAGATGACATTAAGCATGTTGATTATAAAAAATAGTAATTCAATGGTTATCCGAATTTTATATTCCGATTATTAATGCGTCATAAGTCACATGATACTGTGACTCCCATTTTTAATGGTCTTATTATTATTAACGATTGGCTAAAACAGATTAAGGTAATGAAATCCTCCGATGTTTTGCTGCTTGAGTGATTACAAGATCATTCTCAAAGTCTTGATGGTCATTAACAGCAGGCCGCCGTCTTTTTTTTGCATGTTTCTGTTCAATGACGATTAATGCACTTGAAGCTTCGGTAACTTTCATTTGCAGGGTCTTGAGAATCACGTATACTTCCTCTAACGAATAAAATGTTTCTAAATTGCTTGGTATTAAGCACTTGTCAATTAAACCAAAAAGGTAGACCCCTCCACTGCACCATATCATTGCATAAACATTTAAATGAAAACCTGAGAGATCGTATCAAAATTAATTTACAAGCATATTTATACTAATATTCCAATAAAACTGTTATATTACAAACCAATCACTTGAATTCCGTACACAATAAAATATAAGAACTCAGCACTTGATCGGCCGTAGGCCTTAATTATCTGATTTAGTTCATCTCGCAACATAATCATGAGTTTGAGTTTATCAAGCCATTGTTTGCGCTTACAGGCTTCCGCCTTTCCATTCTTGATCCCCCCTGACACTTCACCATGTACAACCTGCAACTTATAATTTGGAATTTTCAAAGTTATTTTGAGATCAACCTTGTAACCAGTCTTTGCTTTCTTCTCGGGACTAATATTGTCGTTTTTTGCATCAGAGTTTGAGCACGAAACAACTTCCCCCCTAAAACATGACGAATTTATTTAATTTTCAAGAAACATAGCTAAATTATTTAGTTCTCGAAAAACTGCTACAAATCACCAAATACAAAGCTGTGCTTACCAATCCAATAATGATATGGTATCATTATAGAGAACTGTATTAATTAAGGGGTAATATAATGCATGCACCACGTGTTGCTCAGACATTGTGTTTTGGATAGGGTAGCCTGTCCGCCTACGATGAAGGTATAAAATGTCATTGAATATCGAATTGATATTCCAGAACGAAAAAACCGACTCACAGAAATTCAACCGCTGTGTGGAAGGTTTTTAACTCATCCTCCGGATTAGGAGGCAACGTAAAATTTTCATCAAAATATTTAGCAAAATGTTCAGGCGTCCGAATAGATTGCCATTGGACAATTATGCCAAATAAATTCCGAAGCTCTTCCCAGTCTTCAATATCAAACGATGTCTTGGTCTCAATATGCTGACCGGTTAAATCGATGATTCCATAATAGGCTGGATTCAAAATCTTGTTTTTCGACGAGATCTTAAAGCGTAAGTTACGAAAGTGCGCAAACACATCTAATTGACTTGATAACACAAGTTTATTATCCTATTACAAAGAATAAACAATTTTAATTCTCTCAAACAACCCACAACAGATTTCTAAATGACTTGCCTTTAGAAATTGGTTTGGAACATTTGGTATCACCGTCTCCTCTCTGTCAAGGCTTTCTTCTGCAATAGATGAAATAAGATCATCTTGGGAAGACTCAAATAAAAATGCGAGCGATTCCAGAACGTCTTCATTGGCATCAGTTGTTATAGGAGAATTCACTATCGAACTCATTAATAACTCTCTTTTGTCTTCCAAATTTTCTACATCATCTTCATCACTGTCGCCTATATCGATTGCAGAATCATTGACGATTGTTGGCGTTGTTGACAATGTGCCCTACAGTAAAGATTTTTAAAAATCTCATCTGCGTATGAATGTGTAAGTTCAAAATTTTAAAAATATGATTAACCTGGTTTTCTACACGGGCATTAAACCTATTTTGCACAGCTATATTTGTGTTTTGGATCGAACGGCTAACTAAAATCTGGACAACGTGAACATGAACATTAGTCTATAGATTAAAGCGAAAGGAGTCTGATCATACATACCGCCTTCCTCTCTTCTAACCACAACTCCCAGTCTCTTTGAAGAATTTCTGCCTATTAAGCCGAAGTAATAGATTTAAAAATCCATTGAGTCAGTGGGTTTGGGTCAAAATCCTGACAAAAAAAATCCCGACAGCTAAATATCCCGACGGTTTAAAATTCCGACAATTAAAAACTCTGATAAAAAATATCATAGACCATAGCAAACCCTATCTTAACCATAATCTAAAGTGACCTAACCCTAAAATTAATTAAATGATAAGAGTTTATTTTGCTTTAAACATATCTCATACTTGGGATTTTCGACTGTCGGGATTTTGACCCGAGTCAGTATATTAGAAAAAACATGTTCACTCATACATTAAATTTTCCTTTCGTTCTTAATAATCTTCTTTTAACATTCTCATCTTGGCATTGATCTAAGGCAGATTCTAGGACTTTACTGTAAACTTCAAAAGCCCGAGCTCGATGCATAGGAAAAGAAAATCTAAAAAAAGCAAGTGGGCTCGAATCGGGAGAATTAAGCATCCATCTTACATTCTGCTCTTTAACGGCTGCTGCTTTGGTTGAGGGCACTTTTTTCATTGTGTGTCAGAACTTTCACGCCAAAAGACGCGTATTTTTTCAAATTTCCCCACGCGATCTTGGCCAATCAAATATCAAGATCAAGTGTAACGTAAAAAATCAAAACATTATATAACTGATAATGGCAAAAGTGTAAAAGAAAATTAAACTCTTGTTTCGATCAAAGTAAGTCGAGTAAATTTTTCTTGTTATGAATTTATCGGCAATTTTGATAAGCATAAAAGAAGTGTCTGCGGCAGACTTATTCTGTCGGAAGCCAGCGATGGCGAGTCATATAAATGGCCGGCTAGATTTTATTGCCCAAAATTGTTACGGGTTTACCGCACCCAAGGCGTCTGCGGCAGACTTATTCTGTCGGAAGCCAGTAATGGCGAGTCATAAATAAAATGGCCGGCTTATGAGTGATGGTTACCCATTTATTGATTGTTTTAACTAGCTTTTATTCAACCAAATTACTAATACCAAGATTTTTATTCTGCTAATTATACGAGAAAAATGCTATGATTACGAGAAACTTTATTGGATGTGATGGTGCCAGTTTGCAAAAAAGTCATTCCACGTCATAGCAAGTTGAAAAAAACAAAAGATTATAACAAGAAACCTATCAGAAATATGGTACCTAAGTTGTGGTATGATTATTTTCTGATAAAACATGCTTTTATTATTAATATACAATAAATTATCATGTACGACCATCAAACTTATATTTCAAAACAATGACACTTCGTGCCTGGAATCTTTATTTTACGAAATAATAAAAAAAATACATCGCGCTTTCATAATGCGAATACAAATAAAAAAAATATTCGTCCCATCACTACGGATTTATAATAAAGATTGCCCTTTTCGAATTTTTCGGAAATCCCCCTTCTAGTTGTAAATACCGAATAGTAGCAATACGATTGACGGGGATATAAAATTATCAGGGGGACCTTCAACGGTAGATCGTTACACGAGCGATTCAATTGATTTAAATTTTTTTTTATACGTGTTACAGTATTTTTTTCGTAAGCTCGGGTAGATTATCTCATTCGTAAAATGTGAAAACTATTAGAGAAACTTGAAGTTCTCAACATATTCGTTTAATCCTTCTTAATTTCAACTTTTATATTGCGTTTCTCTAGTTGAAGTTATAAGTAATTAACCAATATTACATTTGTTTTATGTGTTTTTTTTTTTTTGATGTTAAGGTGAGGTCTTGCTTATATCTTTATTGGTAGTTTTTAAAGTTAGTAACTTTATAAAGTTACTATGTACAAAAATAATTCTATATAAATGTTATGATCAAGGTCAACACTTGCAGTTAAAGTTAATCATTAAATTGTTAATTATATATGATTAACTTAAGTACAAATAAAGAGAAAATTACATTCAAGAGTAAAGTTCAAATATATTTATTTGTGATTTAAACTTATTAGAGTGGTCAAGATTTACTTAGATTTGGATAGTTAAAATATAGTTAAATGAGATATTATATTTGATTCAGAGAATAGTTCATATATTGATTTTTCTAATAGTATAACTGAGAGATGAACATGTGTTGAAGTTTGAGTGTATTTGGTTAAGTAATTTATATACAAGAATATATATATGTTTGGTGATTATATTTAGTTTGTCTATTATAATTAGTTTGGGTTAAATGTTTAGAAAAAGAAGGTTTAAGACTTTATTATTTTTTCCAATTTGAGAAGTTTATGTAATATGGTTTTTAGATTAGTTTGTATATAACTTATTGATTTTAAGTAGTATTTTAATAAACATTTGTGATGCTAATTTGTAAGGAATGTTAAGGTTTTGGATTGTTTAAATTAGAGATTTGGATATGAGTCTTTTAAGAATAATATCAAGATAGAATGAGTTTATTGAATGATATCTAATAAAAGGTTTCATAGTTTTGAATTTTTTGAATAAATTTTTTTTACTAAAGTTTAGAGAAGTTCAGATTACTTTGGCTAATATGTTTGAAGATAATATCTTGAATAATACTAATGAATAGTATTAAATTAGAACATATTCACCAATATATTAAGGAGTTAGATAAGTTGTAATAAAAGCAGTTCATATTATAGAAAATATGTAAATATATTTTATAATATAAAAAATGTATATATAGTTTATTTAGTAGAATTTTGATTTTAAAAAATTTGAAATGATTAAGTTTAAAGTTGGTTATATTATATATTGGTTTTTGGTTATGATTGAAGTATAGCCAAGTAAATTTCTAATTTATTTCTAAAATAAATTGATTTTATTTTTGGTTTCATTTTTGAGATAATCATACTAGCAGAATATAAGCTTTGCAAACATTTTTAATAAATGTTTTTGTAGAATATTCTATAAAATGTTGGTCTTAGAATAGCATATAATATAAGATGTAGATATTAGTATAATTAAAGTACAAATCAGAAAAAAGATTATATTGCTTATATTTAGTAATAATAAATTAGAAATTTGTAAAGATGTTGACTATTGTATTTCAGAGTGTAATAGAGATAGTTAATAGAATAACCATCAGTTCTACTTTATAGAATAATGGCTAAAAGTTAATTTTGGCAGAAAATTTGTGAATAATTTGGTTATTGTTATTAATCTGAACTCAATCAATACCTATTGTATATTGATTAGGTTTAATATTAATTATTAAGTTATGAGTATAAAAGTTAAGTTGTTGTTAAGAGCTATTGAGAATTAAATATTGTTCAAGTATGTTTACTACTTCACTAGTTTTGAATATTTTGAAAACATAAGAATTAGGAATTGGAATTGTTGATACTGAAAGAATTGATAGTGAATGTTTAATAGCTATTGAATAAATAAGGTCAATATAGTTGGCATTAAAGTTTAATGAGTTAGAATTAACTCTTTCTAGAAATTAGAAAGAAATAATCATAGATATATTAATTGTACATAAATTCTGGATTCTGTTAGAGTTTAAATGACAGCCTAAGCATAATGAGCATTGAGTTGGTAAAAAAGAATAATAGCTAGAGTGATTTATATTAATATTTGTTTGCTAGTATATGATAGATATTTGGTTAGTATTTTTAAAATATCTGTGAATTTTGCTAATAATAATCTTATTATTAGTATATATAAGTAATCAGAGTTTAGATTTTTTTAAAATATATTATGAGCTATATGCAAATGGGTTATATTCTGATTATTGGTAATATGAAAGAAGGATTCTGAAACTATTATGGACCATTATAGTATCTTTCAAATAAGTTAACTATAATTGTTTTTAGCCTTTAGGTAAGTATAACAGTTATAATAAGAGATGTTTTTATTTCAGTAAGATAGTATTGTTAGCTGTACAAAGCTGTTCAAGATATAGAATATTGAGATTTCTGATTTATTTTTTGAAGCTAATATACTAAGAGTGTTGAAATAAATTGATTCTAATAATTGAAGATTATATAATATAGTGTTTGGTTATGAAATATTGAGATTAGCTGTTATTGATATATTTAAGTATATTAGTAATTAAATAATTTTGAAATTTAAGATATGTTTATTTGGGCCATCAATAATAGAATTGGGATATTAAAGTATATTAATAGTTGACTATAGATTATTTTAAAGCTGTTGTAGTTTAATTCATATTGAAGTTCCTAATAGGTTAGGATTATTAAGTCATAATAAGAAGTTAGTAATATAATGTTAAAGTTAAATGTTCTATATGTTGTAAAAATTATACAAGTATAGGTTAAGCATAGTACTATTAGGGATTAAATATGCTAAATAGGATTTGCATTTGGCTATTGTTAAATATTTAGCAAGAATGTTATTACACATAAAGTAAGACAAGATAATGTTATATAATTTATATTCAAGTATAAATATAATAATCATATTGATTATATAGATAATTTGTTTATCTGTAATTTTCTTTATACTATCAATATTTGTAAGTTGAAATGGTTTTTCTTAAATAATTTTGATTTGTTGAGTTTATTTGTTATTAAGTGTAAACCAACAATCTAAAAACTTAAATGGTTAGCTAGCAGATATAGATTCTAAGATAGAGTTGAAAAATTGAATATTAGATATAGATGAATTAGAAATAAAAACAGATTTGGTAGCATTAATCTGAATGTTGGTAATTAGGTAAAAAGATGAAGCAATTTGGATAATTTGTTTTAGTTCTTGTTTTGTTTTTGCTATTCAGAGTGTATCATTCATATAAGCTAATACTGATGTAGATACATAAAGACTTTGAGATCTGAGTAGTTGAAAGTAGGTTTTCCAAGTTGTAAATAATAAGTAACCTTTATATTGAGATGCAATTCTGTAGATAAGGGTTATAATAAATACATCAAAATAAAGGAGTTATTGTTTCTTTTTGATCTATTCTATTTTTAACTGTATATAGATTAATTAGGCCAAAGTTGGTAATTACTCTAATTTAGCAGTCTGTTGATAAATTAGTAAGTATATTAATTAGCTTAGAAGGCATGTTAATATGAATGAGTGCTTTTTCAAACAGGTTCAGATTAACTGAGTCATATGCTTTGTTTATATCTTAAAATATAAACCAAAGCTGTTTGAAGTTACAAGATGCATATTTGATTATATTATTTAAGATATGTATAGGTATAGTTGTACTATTGTTTAGCAGAGCAATGTAATTATAAAGTAATAAAATCTTATATTTGGTAAATACTTAGTTTAAATAATTTGTGAGAAGTTTTGTATATAGTTTTTTGGCATATTCAAGAAAGCTAATAGGTCTGATGTTAATTAAGTTGCAGTCAAATATAGATTTTTTGAAAATTAGAAAAATTCTATTCTTTTTCTATTATTTAAAATTTTGATTTAAGATAATATATCTATTTAGAAAGGCTGTAATTGCTTAAAGGAAAAGTATGTTTGCATATTTTAATATTTTATAACTAATGCTAGAAAGGCCACAGGCCTTGTTGTTTAAAAAATAAGATAATGTTTTAGTTATTTCAGCAATAGTAAATTCTTTAAGAATATTATTATACTAATCAGAGTTA